ATGATCAGAGGAATCTGAGACGAAGCCATCTCACTGAAATCTCAGATATTTTTAAATTTGTTCTTCATTGTTAGGGTTGCAGTACTACCATTTTTAAATTGAAAAAATTCTCTGAGGCTGTCAGAAAAGCTATAGATACCTATGACTTTGGGAAGGAATTTAAAAAAATTGTAAAACAATTGGACATCAATCACTTTCTGAAAGATGAGCTACAAGTGAAGATTTCAAACAACTGTCAGCTTGCCCAGATCAGAATGTCCTTTCGGCCTAGAGAAGAACTGAAGATTCTGAAAAGGATCTCCAAAAAAACCCATAAATTTATCATGTGACCTCCTGGTAGTTGTCCTCACAACACATATCAAAGTGCATAAACCTACCTTTAGAAAGAAACTGCACAAATTAGACTTACATTGTGTGCTAGGATGAAAGAACATCAGGTAAGACTCGCTCATAAACACTTAGGTTAAGACCAGGACTTCTGGAATGATGAGCTCTGGGCAAATAAGATAAAGACAGAATTACTTGTCACAGTATCAGAAGACATGTTTAGCAAAACCACAGACATTTCACCAAATGAATCTAATATCAGCTGTAAAGCATAGTGGTGGAAATGTTAAGTCTTGGGGCTGCTTTGCTGCATCTGGAGTTCACCATCAGTTCACCACCGTACAATCTTCACTGCACTAGTTCAAGGATAACGTGATACTATCTGTCAGAAGAATGAAGTTCAACTAAAAGCAAAGCTTGTAATATGATAATGACCCTGAACATTCCAATAAATTCACAAGAAATGGCTGAAAAAAAAAAGAAAAAAAGAAAAAAGAAAAGAAATGGAGGGTTCTGAAATGGGCAAGTCAAACTCTTGAATCTGAATCCCATCGAAAAGCTGTGGGTAATTTGGAACCTGCTATGCATAAAAGAAACTTCTTAAACACCGCACAAGTGAAAAAAAAATATTTCCAGTTGATGTCAGAGAAGATGGACAAGTATAAGAAACACTTACTTCAGGTTCTTTATGCCAAAGACAGGCATACCAGATACTACAGCCAAGGATGTACTTAGTTATTCCACAGAAGAAATGGCATGTCTGCTAATTTGTATTGAATAAATGATTGAAAAGTCAATTTTTCAGAGTTTTGTAGATCAGTTACATCATCTTTATAAACTGTTTGAATGAACATAAAATAGTAGTATGTCCAACTTGATAAAAATTTACATGGGGTGCACTTATATCATTAAGTGTTGTACCTTATGATTATTGATGAACGTATCTTTTCTTTTATGTACACTGAGAGCATATGCACCAAGACAAATTCCTTGTGTGTCCAATCACACTTGGCCAATAAAAAATTCTATTCTATTCTAATCTATTACACATAATGGTAGTTGATTGGCCCAACAAATAAGGATACATATCCAAAGATAGAAATGGGAGGAAAAAACTCAACCATTCCTCTGGAAGGGGAATGCCAATAGTTTCTCTTCAACTATTTTTAAGAAGCTGCAGGAGAGGAACTACTCAGAATCCATAAGACAGAAACCAGAATAGGGCCTTAGCAAAGAAGGAAGGGAAGGAAGGAAGACTGAAACAGATCTGGAAGTGCTGGAATGATAGCACGTAGAGAGGTATATTTCTATGTATTTGCCTACATTTGGGCACAATGGATGCTGCTGCTATGACTCACTGAAGAATTCTGCTTCTGATGGGTAAAGCCTCTGTTTAAACAAGCTGAGTTTTATAATGAAATGCTTACAACCTTGGGTCAGTCTGAAAAGTGTCACAAACGTTCTTACGCAAACACCACATGCACACGGAGTGATCTTTCCACCTCCCTCCCAGCCTTTCCACCTCCCTCCCAGTCAAATCGGGAGATCTGACATGGGATGCCTGACAAGGTCAAAGTAGAGGCGCTTCTACACACATAACAGGCCCTGGTCATGCCTTACTTCCAGTGTGCCTCCCCCCACCATTGCAGAGTGACCCCCCCCCCCCCAAAAACCCTATTTCCTTATTGTTACAAGGGCACAGAAATGGCTGCAGGGTTCGGGAACCAGCTAGAGCAGTGATGGCTAACCTTTTCGGATAGAGTGCCCAAAGCGCATTACCCAAACTCCCAAAATGCAATGCATGCGCTGCCCCCATGCATATACGCTGCCCCCATGCATGTGCACGGCCTGCGTGGCAGAGACACGATGATCAGCTGGGCGGCGGGAGGCACCTGCACATACATGGCGGAACTGGAGTGATAGCTCACATGCCCACAGAGAGGGTACTGCGTGCCACCTGTGGTACTGGTCTGTAGGTTTGCCATCATGGAGCTAGAGGTAGCCGAGGGGCCTGTCAGGTAGCACAGGGCTGTCTTAACGCATGGGCTTGATGGGTACTTGCCCATGGGCCCCACGAGCATAGGGGCCCTCACACTAATCTCTGTATGTTAGCTCTTCAATGCACCCAGGGCCAGGGAGAGGATTATTAAGTTCTGGAACAAGACTAATATGGGCCCCCTCACCTCATTTCATAAACTGAAATGAAATATAAAATATTTTCATAAACAAAATGCAACTAAACTTGCAAACTTAAATAAATAATGAAATTTAAAATTCAATAAATTACATAGAGGTTCACAGGTTAATAAAGGTTATGTCAAACAAGGCTGCAAGGCAGTTTTGCTATACAAAGTCTAAAGTATTGAAGGGAAACAATAATAAGGATATAATAAATAATACTAGGATATGATATACTGGTATACTAGATTCTGTAACCATTAGGTTCCTGTAATACATATATGCCTCACATATGCCTTTATATTTGTATCTCCTGTAACAAACATATTCTGTTATTAGGCCTGTAATGTATCTGGTATTTGTCAAACATATGTCCCTGCCATTTGACCTGAACCCATATCAATCTTCTCCCTGTTTTTTTCTTGTGCCATCTAAGAGCATGGTACGTATCTCCAAGGGATAATTTACACCTCAGTCTTAATTTATGTTTGATCTGGATAGACTCCTACTTTCCAAGGCCAGGGGGCCAAAGTGGCCAATTGAGTAAACAAAGAAATGTTCAAGATGACTAATTGGGAAGTTTCTATTCCCCCTTGCAGGGCAACAAGGAATGCACGGGCCTGGATTGGGAGGCCAGAGTTGGGTACTAAACTGACGTCTCTGAGAGTATAAAAGGACGCCATACCTTCCCCAAGGTGTGGCTATCTCCTCGCATGCATTGTATCTGTATGTTCTGGATATAGTTCCACCCAGTATTTTGTTTTTGGCCATAAATAAAATCTGTTTTTTTGCAAGCCTCGTCTTGAGTCTCTCTCTTTGGCATTCTGGTGACTCAAGTGTATTTTGGGACCTTACAGTATGAAGTATATATATCCAATATTGTTTTTCTTTTTAAAAATTTGGTTTTGGAAATTTTTTTTTAAGAAAAATTCCCCTTCATGGGCCTCCTTTGAGCTGCATGGGTCCCCGGAACAATGTACCGCCTGCACCCCCCTCCCTCTCCTCAGGCCTGAATGCACCTTGTATCATAAAAACACAGCAACCCATTTATTACATATTCATTTATCAGAAGTGCCAATCAAATAAAACAAATGTTTCATTTTTTAATCAACCATTTGCATTCATTTTTTATCCATGGGCTGTCAACACTCCTGAATGCAAAATAACGATCTCGTACCCTTTGGAACAATCTACCCCCAGAGATACGAGTGATCTCCGACCTCCGGACCTTTCGTCGGGCCCTAAAAACTCATCTCTTTCAGTTAGCCGGTCTCTCTTGATTTTATGATTTTATGGTTGGTTTTAAATTTTGATATGGATTTTAAATTGATAAATTTTAAACTATGGGCCAAATTTAATTATTTTAAATCTATTTTTAATCGTATTTATGTATAAATGTTTTTATTTTGGCTGTTCACCGCCCTGAGTCCGAAAGGAGAAGGGCGGTATAGAAATTCGAATAATAAATAAATAAATAAATAAAACATCAGAACTACGAAGTACGATAGGAGTTGCAGGTCCGGCCTAACGTGTAACATGTTTACACTCGGGCAATAGGACTGGGTGTTTTATTCATATGATTTACTGGGTTAGGGCTTTTCTGTCTTCCCGGTGAGTTGTATTGTGTTGGGGTGTGTGTGTGTGCACTGAGGGAGCTCCACCAGTCTCATTATACATGTTGTGCACTGACATGAAAGATTTGAATCTGAATTCATTCCTCTGAGGAGAGAGTTATTGTAGCTCCCCCTCCCCACAAGTACAATGCTTTGCCGGAGGGGACCCCTAATGCTGCTCAGACGGCCCTGAGGCCAGGCAATGAGGGGCCACTCCTCACTCAGCTCATCCCATTTTTGGTGGGGGGGCAAAAAGGGGCCGCCTGCTGACTCTCCGCGGCCGCCTCTATCGCTTCCCTAAGCCAGGCAACACCGAAGGGGCTCCCGCGCTCCGGATAGAGGGAATTTGGAAAGCTTCGGGCCCCGGGAAGCCGTGCTATATCCGGACCTCGAGGGGTCGTCCGGCTGTTTCGGAACAGCAGCTTCGACCTCCCCTTGGTGCGGGATTCCGGCAAGGTCCGGGTCTCTGCAACAAATGCACCCACATCCCCACCTTGGGGAAAGGCAGAGCAAGCAGGGGCTTCGGCCCCCGACGAGCGGAGGGGCTTCCAGCACCTTCCACCCCCGGCGTCCGAAAAACAGCATCTCCCGCCCCGTCCCAAGCCCGGCCACGAGAGAGAGAGACAGAGAGAGAGGGGCGTGGCCAGGCAGGTTGCCGGCCGGCGGCTGAGCCAGCAAAGGGGAGAAACGCGGAGAAAAGAAGCCGCGCACCGAACCGCCGTCCAACAGCAGATTGCGGGCAGCCAATGCCGTGGAGGCACCGGTGGCACCAAAGTCCAGGCAGCCAATCGACGCCCTTCGCCTCTTCCCCCCCCCCCCCCCCCCCGGCGCCGCGCCCCCCGCCACCCCCCCCCCCCCCCCCCCCACCCCTCCCCGGCAAACACTCGCCCGGCGGCACGCGCGGCTTCCCACTCCACCGCCCCTTCTTGCCAAGGTCGCGAGGTTGCATTGCAAGCCCAGCCCAGCGGGTTACTGCAGGTCGTGGCCGTCCGTCCGTTTAAATTCCCGGAGAAGGAAGGAAGGAAGGAAGGAAGGAAGGAAGAGCTGGATAGAGAAAGAGCTTTAGGCGCCAGAGAAGCATCCGAGGAAAAGACCCGGGGAGGCTGCAGGTAAAGCCGGAAAACACACACACACACACACACACACACACACACCGCGCCTCTCGCTGCTGTTCCGAGCGAAGGAGCCGCAGCTGTTTGCCGACCGAGCGGGGCCTTTCGATGCCTTCGCAGTTTTTGCAAGAGGAGGTAATTAACGCTTTGCTTTTTCCCCTTAGGTGCCTTAAGCCGGGTGAGGAAGCCCCCCTCCTCTCTCTCTGCGCCCAGCCCCCCCCCCCCGGCGGAGAGGGCTCTGCGCCACGGGATGTTCTCGGTGCCATCCTGGAGCCTTCCAGAAACAGAGCGCGCCCCCGACGGCGCCCGCAGGCTCCATTTCAGACCCCCCCCCTCCCCATTTTGCCCCGGCGAATGTCCTTTGCTTTCCCGGCGAAAGGATGCTCCCGCTGGGCAATGGCTGGGAAAAGGCGCCCGGGGCTACCCCCCCCCCCCCCGCCCCCCCGGGGGGGGGGGGGGCCCCCCCCCCCCGGGCCGATCATCTGACGCTATTGCTGGGGAAGGGGAGCGCGCGCGCGAGAGAGAGAGAGATAGCGCGCGCCCAGCTGGCGGCAGAGAGGGGGGTGCGGGGGGGGGTAGGCAAGCAGGCAGGCACTGGTTTGCTTTTTTGGGAGGAAGCTGCAACGGGGAGGGGGGGAACGACGCTGCCCCGAGCCCCCTTGGAGGGAGGGCTGCCCCCCCCCACCCCCCGTGAAGGATGCTTCTCTGTTGTCGGCCTTTCTTTGACGCATCACCCTGCGGCTTTACTAGTAGCATTTTACTAACTAGGAGTTCCGACAAGAGGTTTACTCTCCCTGCTTTTTTCCCCACCGCGGTCCTGACAGTTTGCAAAGGAAGGAAGGAAAAAGAGAAAGAAAGAAAGAAAGAGAGAGAGAGGGAGGGGGGAAGGAAGGAAGGAAGAAATAAAGGAAGGAAGGAAGGAAAGAGAAAGAAAGAAAGAGAGAGAGAAAGAAAGAAAGAAAAAGAAAGAAAGAAAGAAAGATCTCAGGGAAAGGAAAAGAGGGAACGACTACCTTGAAATTTTTTGAAATGGCACAGCTGCTGGGATGCACTTGGAGGGAGCCAGCCCCACACCCAGCTTGTGAGAACCGCAAGAGAGAATTCCACTTCTTGACAACCTGACCAAGACAGCTTGCATTGTGCCATGGCTTAGATGATTTAAGATTTTTTTTTAAAAAAAAGCCATTCAATTAGACTAGAATCTTATTAATTAAAATAAAGACCTCTGATCATTTAAATCTAAGGCAAGCTTGACAAGCCAGGTTCTTTCTTCATGACATTCCTGTGCCAAAGAGAAGGAGGCAAGAGTAAAATGGTGCCAATGTTGATCATTGCCACAAACCGGCAACTATGTCCCCTGAACTGAAAACAGCCGGCTAACTTTTCTGTCTCGCCCTCTGTGGCTTTGGCCTAGCCCTGCTACCTTTGCTGAGAAGGGAGAGTGACCTGTTCACCTGCTAGGTCTGGAGACTGTTTTCTCGCTTCAGTTTGGCCATGCCCAGCTCTGGCACCAGCTTTCCTGAGCTGAAGGAGGCCTGCGGGCAAACAAGGAACCAGTCTAAATTTTTGAACTACAGTACTCTGTAGTTTACATAGCATTACTCATCTTCTCTGAATAACAGCCCTTTACTATCTCTTAAAACTGAATGTGGTTTCCAAAAGCAATGAGCATAATTTAGTGTATTAGTTTTATATTTTTGATATGGTTAAATGACTAAATCAATAAAGTTTCTCTAAAGATTCAGTACAATTGTGTGTGTGTGTATCCCCTCCCTCCCTCCCTCCCTCTCATCTATCTGTACAACCCCCCCAAAAAGTAAGACCTATTGAATCCAGATAAATGTGTAGATCATTCTTTTTCAGACTAGCAATTTTAAGATGCGTGGACCTCAACTCCCAGCATGCTGGTTGAAGAATTCAGAGAGTTGAAGTCCCTACATCTTAAAAGTTGCCAAGTTTGAAAAGCATTTGTAATCCTGATTATTTCAAATTTAATTTCCCTTTATATGTAATATCTTACATTTTCTCCAGTGTTTTTAAAACAAAGTCGACGTAAACACAACCTTTCTGGTTTTCCACTTGCAAAGAATTCTGATTCTTGCTTTGGATGGAAATAATTTTCACTATAATTTTAACTTAAAGCTGAGAGATTACTGTTTGCTTTCATCTTCTTCCCAGCCAGCTTGATGTAATCTATCATCCCTTTTCTGCTTCATAGGACCAACAGTAATTTCTGCAACTCATCTCAATACCTAAGAATAATGTGAGGGGAGACATTCTTTTTCGTATTTATTCATTTATTCATCCATTCAGTTCCATAGCTGCCCGTCTCAATGACACTAAGCTGTTTATGGCAACATTCTTCTAAGCTCAACTGTTCACAAGCAAGTTAATTAATTTTAAAAAAAGAACAGTCTTCTCAGTGTTTTGGAGTGAGGTATCAATGATAAGAATAAAAATAATAAAGAAGTACAGAACCCTGAGGTTTCTCTAGTCAGGTGATAAAAGAGGAACTCTTGTGTTTGACGCCTACTGACTTCATAGGCACATTTGTGGAGTCTGTCAGTGGTTTTTTTGACCTAATGTCTATGGAAATTCTCAATCATCCAAGTCATGGTTGTCTGAAAGGTGCTTTTTCAAAAATGCAACTGGACTTTCTCATTTTTTTTCCCATTGAAAAGGTTAGAACTGAAGAAGCTTCTTGGATGAGAAGCGAAATGTTTTCAAAGAAAAAAAACCAAGAAAGTCTAGTTGCCTTTTGGAAAAAGCACCTTTGAGACTTTCTTTGGCTTGTTTTTCTCCTTCCTTATCTGGCTTGATTGATCCTAATTAAGACCCTTCAGAAATCTTGGTACCATAGTTCCCAGCCAACTGTTTGTCACTTTGATAAACCCAGACCCAGTTCGACTTGTGGATATCAACTAAGCCTAGTAAATACTATTACACAACAATTTAACTAGTTAAATTAGAAGGAGGCTGATGTATATTGCTGAGGATATACCATTTGAATTTCTTTGCTGCAACTTGCACACAACTTTAATAAATAAAACTACAGTGTGGCCCAGAAGAAAATTGCATTGATCTCAATGGGATTTTCTTTTTCGGTTTCTTTATGCCTTAGATTTGATTTGTGCTATGCATGTTAAGGAAACAAACCTGGAGTTAAAATATTGCCTTTCAGATTTGTGGATATTTAGTTGCTACAGATTTATATTGTATAGTCATTCTGCATACAAAACCTACATTGTCCAGACCTCTTGATACAAAAGTACATAATTATTCATTTGAAACTTGCATTCTACCTTCTAGTGCATATAATTAATTAATTAAATAAATTTATATGCCACCCACCTCACTAATGACACCCATGTTTCCCTGAAAATAAGCCCTCCCCCGAAAATAAGCCCTCCCCGAAAATATTTAAACGCATGTGTGGTTGGTCCCCGCCATTTCCTCTGATTAGGGTTAGGGAGACAGAGCTGGAAATCACGTAAGACGGAAAGAGGAGCCCCGTCTTGCTCCACACGCCCCAAAATAATAAAGCCTCCTTGAAAATAAGGCCAAGTGCTTATTTCGGGGTTCAAAAAATATAAGACGGTCTTATTTTCGGGAAAACACGGTGTTTGTGTATATATATGCACCAAATAAATAAAATGCATGAAGGAGAAGTGAAATATGTTATTGATTCTGCTCTTGACAAAATTTCAATACTTAGCTGAGGAACAAGGGCATTTCTACTTGCATGCTCAAACTTTTTATCCCATGGAGCATTAGTTGCAATTAGTTGGGTATCTAGCAAACTGTGTAAGTTATACAGTGCACTTTAGAGATGTATTTAACAGATCACAAATTGCCCTTCCTTGTCACACCATATAAGTTGCAAGTATTTCATTGCTTTGTAGACAGGTGTCAACTTAAGAGTTTCAATGAAGAACCTAGAAACGAGGAAAATGTTATTTTGGTTTAGGTCAATGCAGGACTTTGTGTGTAACTTTGTTTACTTTATTTGCCAGATCATTCCAGACTTTTCTACCATGCCTGCCTTTACTCACATTATCCAGAATGGTGTAGCTCATTCGGAAAAAGTCCATCCCACTTATGAGCAAATGGCGTCAGAAAGAGAGATGACAGATGACATTTTTGATGAGACTTATCGTGAGAAAGAGGGTCCGAAGCCTTCAAAAAGATACGTCTGGAGGAACATTATTCTCATGTCTCTTCTCCATCTAACTGCTGTGTATGCCATCTGGTTCATACCTTCTGCAAAGCTACTCACTTTGGCATGGGGTAAGCTAAAACTACCCTCATTTAGCTTGGAAGTGTCATAAGATCATAGCATCTAAGGAACCTTGGAAGTCTTCTAGTCCGTCCCCCAGCCCAAGGCAGGAGTTTTTATACTGGACAAATAGTTGTCTAAAAATGGTTATCTGGGTCAACTTATTGTCTTTGTTACATAGGCTTCTGCTGTTCTCAGTTAGTTACTTTCCTCTCTTCTGAACTCTGCAGTTAGTTACTTTCCTCTCTTCTGAACTCTGAAAGTCTCCCCCCAAAACCCAGAGGGAGGGTCACAGCCATCTGAATTTAGAAACAGGCTGTTCTGGGCAGCCACATGAATGCTCTTGAGTTCATATCCAACTTTATCCAACTTTGTAAGAAATATTCAGGGCTTTAGAAGATCATTGGATTTTGCTATGTGCAAGAGAACTAGGCCTACTATGTAGTATTTAATAATGGGACCTTGAATAATGCCAGCTGATCAATATGGACCATAGCATAGACTACTGTTTCCCTATACTGCTTGGATATAATGTTATCAACATCTGGAGGGCCATAAGCATAGTCAGTAACTAAGCAGACATCCCAGTGATTTGATTCATGTTTCCTTCAGGATTCACTGCGAGAAATCAGGCCCTTCAGAATAGAATACTCAGGGATAATTCTGGGAAGTATCCAGCATCCTTCCTAGGATAACAAAGGCTATGAAATACTGTTTCATGTATTTCATGAATCATTATGAAATGATGCATGAAATACTGTTTCCCAGCTGATAAACCATTTCTAGGTTCTTCAGACGGTGGTCGGAGACTAAAATAGAGGCAAATATGTAGAGGTGGGATTCAGCCAGTTCGGACTGATTCGAGCGAACCGGATGTTAATTTTAATCTGGTTCGCCCAACCGGTAGTTGCAAGGACTGGCTGACCCCACCCACTCCACCCCGCTCCTCCCAGGAGTCTCCACGCAGCCCGTTTTGGATGTCAGGTAAGTGCAGGGCCTGCGCGGAGGCTCTGGGAGGGTAAAAAACAGGCCTTCTGGAAGTCTGGAAACAGGCCTGTTTCCAGCCTCTGGAACCCCAGGGGAGGCCATTTTCAGCCTCCTGGTGGCTCGAGCTAAGCCTCCAGAGCCTGGGGAGGGCGAAAAACGGGCCAACTGGAAGTCTGGAAATGGGCCTGTTTCTGGTCTCCGGAGGAGGCTGTTTTTGCCCTTTCGGAGGCTCGAGGAAAGCCTCTGGAGCTTGGGGAGAGTGAAAAGCCTCTCCCCCCCAACTGTGATGGCCAAGTAGGCCACACCACCCAGCAACCAGGCAGAGAACCAGTTGCTAAAATTTTTCAATCCCACCCCTGTGTATATGTTTGTGATTTGCCTTTTAAAAATCATTTTTGAAAAACTGCTCCCTAAAATGCCTCAATGGAGAAGTGCTTCGTTCAAGTTTTATAAAGATCTGATGGTTGAGCGAAAGTGTAATAAGGCAGAAAAGACTTTGCTGTCCATGATGTTGCTCCTCTCCACTCAGAGCTTTGTACTCCCATGTTTTCAGACGGCACTTTTTAAATGATCTGATGATGTATGGAGGTTGTCTAAAGTGCAAGTATGATATTTGTCACTGGTGAGATGTTCAGTCTCCCAAGAGTCTGGAGAGTAGGTGGCATACAAAGATTTGTATAAATAAATACATAACTACATACAAAGATGGTTATAATACATGCATTTTTCATTTTATATCTAGCAGTTTAATTTGTCATATAATCAATACGCAAACAGTAAATATAACTAGTAATGCTAATTAATTTATTCAGATTTTAAAAAGCGTAGCTAAGGAGGGAATGTGTAGGCTCTTTGTCTAAAAGCAGAAAGGGGTTGTTGGTAGTAATAAGGGCATGTCCTGATGAAAGCCAGTCCAGATGGAAGAGGTAAAACCCACTTGAGATGTAGTTGACGAAAATCTTCCAGGGCTTTTTGAGTCCCCCACCCTCACTTTTACATTATGTCCCCTGAAGATCAAAGTACAGGGAGGGTGGCGGCGGGGATGCATTGGATAGGAGCACAGGAACCAACTGAAGAAATTCCATCTAGTTAAGTGTTTGAACAATTGCACAAAAGCCAGTTCAAACTGAGAAATGGATTCACTTGAGAAGTAGAAATTAAAACAGTCATAATGGCATAGAATATCTTAATTACAGCCTTCTTTGACTCCATTTACCATTCTAAATATAGGGCTAGGTAGAAAGCTACATCTCAGCCTATCTATTTTATAATTTTTTTATCACTGGCAAAGAACAGTTGAACATTCAGTTAAGGCTGGCTCTTTTTTCTTTGGCTGCTGAGCTTTGTTGACATGCATTAAAAACAATCAGCAGAGACCCATGGTCATAACTTGTAGCCATGGAAAATGATTCTGTGCTTTGAATATTTGAAACCTGAACATTTCTGATCAAGAGGCAATCCGGATGGCCAACAGCTTGGCAATCTTATTCTTGATTTGCTTCTACCAAGTTTCCCCGAAAATAAGACCGGGTCTTATATTATTTTTTGATCCAAAAAAATGCATTAGGGCTTATTTTCTGGTTAGGACTTATTTTTGGGGAAATATAGTACTAATTGTGTTCGTCTGGCTGATGATCTTAACGGGGGCTTATTTTGGGGGTTATATTACCAGCATTTAAAAAAATCATGCTAGAGCTTATTTTCCAGTTGGGTCTTATTTTCAGGGAAACGGGGTAAGAGGCACATGGATCAAGAAACATCCTTGAGAAGTCAAAGAAAAAAAGTGGCCAAAAAGCTGGCATTATCCATTACTTGGTAGAAAGTAAAGATTAAGAGAAGGAAACTACATTGAAGAAATTGACAAGAGAAGTGGAAGTAACTTAGGAGGAGCTGAAAGAGGAAGAGGCTGCATTTGGGGGTGGCTTGACAGAGGAGAAGTCTGGGGGGGGGGGAACTAGAGAATTCACCTGGCAGAGAAAGAAAGCAACATCAGAGCAGGAGTGGAATGCAGAGACTGGCAGACATTGCAAGGACAGGGAAGGGACAAAGCATGCTGTGTTTTTAATGTATGTATGGAATAGGAAGGCAGACACATTGAGAAAGCATGGCTTGGTGCAGTGGTGATATTCAGCCGGTTATATCCAGTTCGAGCGAACTGCTGGCGGTGGTGGGAGGCTCCGTTCACCCGCCCAGACGTAATCACACCCTGTTTTTGATGTTCTGCGCATGCGCGGAAGGTCCTGCGCATGCACAGAGGTGACTGCGAGCAAAGTGAGCATGCATGTGTGCTCACACTTGCAAACAGGTAGCGAAGGTAAGTGAATACCACCCCTGGACTGGAGGGAATGGCCCTTGCCGGCTGAAGAGGAAATCTTGAGTAAATGTTCCACCCATGTATCTTTGTTTTAGTTTTTAGACCTCAACTCAGTCTTCCAAAAAGGGTCTTTTACTCTCCTGTTGCCTGCGCAAACAGTATCTATATACTTCTCCTGAGACTTATATACATTTCCAAAATATCTGTGCTTGCCCCCCCCCCAAATATGGCTGATCCTCTGCTCCCATCTTTCTGATGTCTTCATCAGGGTTTAATACTGTAATGACCATATTTCATGGGGAAAAAATAAAGGACAAACCTGACAAAGGGGCAAATCTGAAAGAGGTTCATAAGGATAAAAAAAATGTGTTTATAACTGTGCCTACAATTCAAGAGCAAAATCTAAAAGACAGTTTTCTGGAATAAAGGGCTGCTCCTTTATAATAAAGGATGTATAGTCCCTGGAGCTAGTACTCATAATTGAGCATCCATTATCTCTTCTACCACTACAATAGGTGACTATTTCACCACACTGTACTTGATACGAAGGACAAAGAGTTTGACTATGAAAACATGCCACAAGATCTGGAGAATATTTGAAAATCCAATACAGATTGCTAGGAGGGAATTATAGCCAACATGCTCAGAATGGAGGCAACAATTTTCTATTTAAAGGTTGAATAGGCAAGGTTTGGGAATAGTAGCCCAACCAAATGTTCCTCTTTTTAATTCCTATTTATTTATGTACCACTGTTTTTCTCTCTAATGAAAGCAGAAGTTGAGTTCTTACGACTTCTATTGAAATGAGCTTGATGCCATTTCTAAGGAATTTCCCTGAAAGATGTGACATCTGGTTCATGTTCAAGGTGCCATATTATATAGATGGTCTTGTTAAATGTTTCTTCTTGGAAGATAAAAGACATCCCAGTTGTCTTATTAAATGTTTCTTCTGGGAAGATAAAAGACATCCCAGTGGCATCATTTCAATTTATCAGGAATGAATCTGAGAACATTCTAGGAAATTAGCTGTGGGAATATTCTATGTAATCATTGCTGGAAATAATGGCAGCTATAATGTCTTTTCTTGGAAGAGCTTTGAAAAGCAATTAGAAATGGCTATCAACAATTCAGGTGTGTCCAGGGTGGATTTGATTTAAATCGAATTGATTTAAATCATGATTTAAATCACTAGTAGAAAGGCTTGATTTAAATCAACTCAATTTAAATCATAATTTTTAAAGAGCAACTGTCATCTCTGCTAGTCCCAGTGTTGCAGAATATACAGCTTCATGCTACATAACTCCATAAGCTCCATTTCATGCTGAATAAACTAAATTATTTATGTATCTTAAATAGAAAACTATCTTACGATAGATTTTTACCCCAAAAGTTTTTTATTAAAATAAATTCGATAAAAATAAAAAAAAATCCGATTTAAATAAAAAAAAATCTGATTTTTTTGATTTTTTTAAAAAAAAATCATTGATTTTTATCCACCCTGGGTGTGTCTCCATATTACTCATATCCACATGACATATCCTCTGAGAATAATAAAGTAATTAATATATCCAGGGAATCTTCTTTTTGAAATGGGAAATTTGGCTACCTAACTATTTTGCTTTTGAGTATCTCTCATCTACTTATTAGGGATTTTCTTGTTGCTGATCCTAAAGAGCCAACTGGGGCTTGAAGATAGCCTAAATTTCTACACTTTCTCTCAGCCCCAGATGTATAAATGGCCCCTTTGTTACAGTGATTTCAGCACGATGACAAATATACTCAAATAATAATGTTATATGAATTTTTAAATTATAATCCACCATATGATATGTAAAACCATCTGCTTCCCCAGCCCACAATGAATGCTTTTAAACAGTCATAGATAGATGTTGACCATATCACCATCTTGGTTTTGTTCTTTTTCTTGTTCTTTCGTTTTTAATTATTCACGTTGTATATTATTGGTTTTATATTGTGAGTGTCAGGCAAGGCCTAATAAAGTAAATAAAATTAAAAATGTTTTATTTTGACTCTTGTTCATGGTTCATTTTCTTTAGATTGCTTTTTCTTCTGTTGTTTTTATTTTAATACTGTGGTTATAATTTTATATCGTTTAAGATACTGTCAATCCATTTTGAATGTCTGTTTTCCTGACCAAAAAAGGAATATGCATTTTCTTATAAATAAAAAAGGCAACGTGCTTTCTGCTGCCTGTTGAATGAACTGGACAAATTATTTTAGCTAGACAAAGTTTATAAACCACTAGCTTTAGGATTATTTGCTTCCTAGGACTGGCAGAACGAGAACATAAAATCATAAGGTTGGAAGGGACCTTGGAGATCTTCTAGTCTAACCCTCTGCTCAAGGCAGGAGACCTTATATCATCCTGGTCAAATGGTTGTCCAGTCTGTTTTTGAAAACCTCCAGAGTTACGGGACCACCCGTAACTCTGGGAGGCAAGCTGTCTCATTGATTCATTGTTCTCACAGTCAGAAAATTTTTCCTAGGTTGGATCTCTCTTTAACAAATTTCCACCCATTACTTTTTGTCCTGCCCTCTGCTGTTTTGGAGAATAAGTCAATCCTTTCTCTGTGACAGCCCCTCAAGTACTGGAAGACCATTATCATCCATCTAATCTTTCTCTTTAATAGACTAGACATTCTTACCTCCCTCAACTGTTCAACCGTGATTTAGCCTCCAGATCCATTATCTTCGTTGCTCTTCTCTGCACACTTTCCAGAGTTTCAACATCTTTTTGTGTCATGGTGACTAGAATTGGATGCAGTATTTGAAGTGTGGCCTCACTAGGGCAGGATAAAATGGTAGTATCATTTCTCGTGATCTTGATGCTATCCTTCTGTTGATGCGATCTAGGATTGCACTGTCTCTTTTGGCAACTGGAGTACATTGCTGGCTCATATTTAAGTGATGAGCCATTAGGACATTTAGATCTTTCTCCCAGTTACTACAGTTGAGCCTGGTACCACCTATTCTATACCAATGCATTTAGTTTTTCATGCTTAAGTGCATGGCTTTCAATTGTCTCACTGTTGAACTGTATCTTGTTAAATCAGTCTGTTTTATTTGTATGAATGCATTCTGAGAACTGCTGATGATTCCTTCTTTTCCAGATTTATTTGTTCTGCCCAACTGGTTTTTGTGGGATAGGTTGGAATGAAGTCTTGCAAAAACTTACAAATAATAGGGGTTTTTAGTTTGTTGTGTCAATGGCTTCTTTTGTGGCAACAGAAAGCTTTGGAATTTTTTGCTTTTGAAATCCCACGTTATTTAATTCAGTATTCAGATATAATTAGAAAGATTGCTAATTAAGCATTTCTTTATAAATTAACTAATTTGCATGTTTCAATATTTACTCAATGAATCCTTTGAGGCTGGAAAAATTTGTAACCTTGGGAAAGTTGTCCAGGAAAGGAGACTGGAGTTGTTGCCGATTATAATATTGCCTAATTTTTTCTTGGCCAAATCTTTTTGCTTATATTCAAAGCAGCGGGATTAATGGAATGCTCAGGCTCATAAAAAAACAGCTGCATCTGAAATCCAGTGCTCAGGCTTGCCATGTCCATTTGATCAATGGTTCCCCAAAGTAGTAATGTCAAATGAAGGCTTTCTTGATTGACATCTGCCCCTTGTTTGGGTAGCAAGATGGGGGTTATCTGGAATTCTATTCCCAGTGTTTCCTATTTATGAATCATTAGCACTCAGTTTTCCTTCAGAATGTTAAAAGACCACTTACACAAGCCTTGAAAAGTTGTTCCTCTTTTTCCAAGTGATCATGAGTAGAAGAGAACAATGATGTGTAAAAGAAGACTTTGCCCCAGTCCCTAAGGTGGTTCAACATAGCATCCATTCAAATGTACAGTATTCCTTTGAAAGAAAGGCATTGGATGGTGAATTAGATTCTAGCCTGTCTGCATCTTAACTTTTGCAGGATTACTCCAAAAGTTTACAGGCCAAGCCTACCGAGTAAAGAGAAGCAGTTAAAATTGTCAGGATATAGATACTTCTACCTCTCTTTCTGCTGAGTTGAGTAGATAGGATGTCTTGTGAGCCAAAAACAAACAAACAAACAAAAACCACCAAAAGCCACCTGATTTATATAAAATCTGAACCCTCTTAAGGAATTACTAGGCATAATGTTTTGTCTTTGGCATGAGTACTTATTTTGCATGAGTTAGCATGATAATCTAATGAACAGTGGTTTGGAATGGGATAATTAATCACTTGTGGTATCAAAGCAATACTCAGTCAGATAGCTCATGATAGTCATACAGTTCAGAGTTCCATAGATAATGGACTTATTTCTTAACATCTGTGCTAGAAGACATCTAATTCCTACACAAGGAATATGAAAATCATACATGATTTTGTAGTGAAAGTGACTCTAGAAAGAACATGGGGATAGTTTCCAAGTTGCATTGTTAGTTAGCTGAACAGAAATCCCTCTTCCATCTGAAGTATATCTTTTTAAAATCTTTTTAATTTTTTAATTGGGTCTTTTTGGGGTGATGGAAGCCATACCTGAGTTTTATTAAGATATCAGTTATATCCTTTTGACAGTTTTTCCCCCTCCCCTTTTTTTTTCTACAGCTGTTTTGTGCTTCATCTTGGGTGGTCTTGGAGTTACAGCTGGAGCACATCGGCTTTGGAGTCACCGGTCTTACAAAGCTACTCTACCTCTTCGGATATTCTTGGCCATAGTCAACTCCATGGCTTTTCAGGTAGGAAGTATGGCAGACCAACTGCATGGCCCTGGAATTCCATAAAGAAATTGGCACCTCAGGCAGAACATGAAAACTTCCTCCTGTGTTGTTATAAACAAGTTTCTAGTTTGTATTTTGTTTTCCTCACTCAGTTTTTAATTAATTTAGGCTTAGGGCTAGCTATAAGATTATCATTTACATTCCATCAAAAATCATGTCAAACTTCAAAATATTTTGTCTGAGTGTGTGAACAAAACATAGCTGCCAAAGACTTCCAGCCACTGCTGTCTCAAATGTCACCAACTCCCAAATAGCCAACATTAATCTGTGACTTGGTCAAATGGAAATTATTATTTATTGGATTTCTATGTTGCCCATCTCACTATACAGTGGCTCTGGGCAGCTTCCAATACAATAAAAATTAAAAAGTTCAAAAAACAATTAAAATAGAATAAAAAGTTCAAAAATTAAAAACCGTGATACTTTTTGCTTACCCTAGAGTAGGGGTGTCAAACTCAAGGGCCGGGGGCCGGATCCAGCTCATGGGATGCTTAGATCTGGCCCGTGGGGCCACCGTGGACTGGCCTGTCGTGCCTCTCCCAGTGAAAATTGAGCTAGCAAGGGCTGCAGGTGGCCCTCCCGAGCTCCGTTTTCGCTGGCAGAGAGTTGCAGGAGGCCATTGCAGCTGAAAACGGAGCTTGGGAGCCAGTTTTTGCTGGCAGAATGCTCAGGCCACCACAGCGCCCCTGACACGAGTGACATCGAGCTAGCCACGCCCCCCTGCCCCCGCAAAGTCAAACACAACCCTGATGTGGCCCTCAATGAAATTGAGTTTGACACCCCTGCCCTAGAGTAAAGAATTAATAAAAGTATTTTTTACCCTTCTTCCCTATTCTTTAGGGATAGGCAGGGAGCAAATCTTAAGAACGTTCCACTTTTAAACATTGTTCAAATTATTCTCTTCGTGCTTCATCTAGAATGATATTTATGAGTGGGCCAGAGACCACCGTGTGCACCACAAATTCTCTGAGACGGATGCAGATCCCCACAATGCAAAACGGGGATTTTTCTTTGCTCATATTGGCTGGTTGTTGGTCCGCAAACACCCAGATGTCATCGAAAAAGGACAGAAGCTGGACTTGTCTGACCTGAAAGCTGACAAGGTTGTGATGTTCCAGAGGAGGTGAGCATGGGGTTATTGCAGGCAGAGGAAATGAAAGGGATCTGGGAAAAGCGCTTGGCAGGGACTAAATTATAATGTCAGCTGAATTCTTTTCATCATTTGCTGCAATTGCTCTCTGCTGTTGAATTGGTAATTGAGCACAAATATTTATTGCTTGGCTAGAGACTAAAATGCCTGAGCCATTATAATTCTTCTGTTGAATTATTCTTTTTATTTGCTGCATATTATGTTCCAGTATATCAGAATTGTTTATACATCAAGATCATTTTATCAGTTTAGAAAGTGATCAATTAAACCTATGATTTTCAGAATGTTCAACAATTATTATTGTTTTTCCCTTCTTAGGTATTACAAGACTTCGGTGGTACTCATGTGCTTCATGCTTCCTTCCTTTGTTCCTTGGTATTTTTGGGGAGAAACCTTTCTCGTCAGCTTCCTGCTGACCATTCTCCGATACACATCAACCCTCAATGCCAGTTGGCTGGTGAACAGTTTGGCACACATGTATGGCAATCGGCCATATGATCGCCACATCAACCCCAGAGAAAATCACTTTGTGGTCTTTGGAGCTTTAGGTATGTAAGGTGTAAAAAGCCTGCCAGGTGCCATGAATTGAGAATAGATTGTGTGCTTCAGCTCTGGTTTTAATAGATTGTGTGCTTCAGCTCTGATTTTAATTTATTCTGCATCAGGGTCCTAATGAAGATCAAGACCACTCTAGAAGGGATGGGAAAGACCTAATCCTTCCTTCCCCTGCTTGCTTGGACAGTTCATCCTCCCTTCATACAGTGGCAGGTTTTTAAAAGACCTTCCCTTGGGACCAAGGACTTTCCCCCCCACCTGCAGAGTCTTTTTCCAAAGGAACCAAGAGAAAGATTACCGTATTTTTCGGAGTATAAAACACTCTGGATTATAAGACGCATCTATCTTTTTTGGGGAGGAAAACAAAAAAAAATCTGCCTCTGCCTCCCAGCAATTTGCCTCCTTGCAGCAAACAGCGAAGGCCTGTGTGGCAATAGGCAATGGCAATCCCTGTAGCTTGAAACAGCTGAGGGTCGGGAGGCCGATCCAACCGACAATCAACTCCTTGTGCTGAAGCTGAAACGGTCTGTTTGCTGCAAGGAGGTAAATTGCTGGGAGGCAAAGGCCAATGGATGGGGGCCGGCAGGTAGGCGGGGCTACATTCGGTGTATAAGACGCACCTAAATTTTCACCCTCTTTTAGGGGGGAACAAAGTGTGTCTTATACTCCGAAAAATACGGTATGTTTTCCCCCAGATTGGAGATACAGATCTGAATCCTGCCAGTGGATGATAGGTTAAAGTCCTGTTTTAGTATGAAGGACTGGAGATTATTGGAGAAGATCAGCTGTTCTGCTTACAGCCTTTTCAAGTCATTCCTGTTCAGCATCTCGCTTAGACCAAGGGACTTCATGTCCTTTGAATAGGCAGGTTGGCTTCTGTGGTGAAATGAGTGGCTTAGGCAGCTTAAGTCTGTTCCGGCAACAAACAAACAAACAGAAATGGGGCCAATTCAAGGTGGGGTTGTTTTAAAAGCTAAAAAGCAAGTAGGGAAAGGAAGGATTAAAAAGCTTATCTAGATTTATGACACTGGTTTTGCCCCGCCCAAAATAAAATATTGGACAGAGATTTTTTTTTTCTCAAGCGTTGGGAAGAACAGGGAGGGTAACGCAACAAGAGCTCTTTTCCTCCTCCTCCTCATCCCCTTTGAAAATTCCCTTCAATGTGCAGCATTGGCCTTCAGCAGTCTTTAGTGCCACAACGATCCTTGGTGGTGGTTGTGAGATGTTTTTCAAAGAAGGTAGACAGAGCAACAGCACTTTGACTTATATACCGCTTCAGGGTGCTTTACAGCCCTCTCTAAGTGGTTTACAGAGTCAGCCTATTCCCCCCCTCCCCCCAAACAATCTGGGTCCTCATTTCGAAAGGACGGAAGGCTGAGTCAACCTTGAGCCGTTGAGAATCAAACTGCCAAACTCCTGGTTAGTCAGCAGAAGTAGCCTGCAGTACTGCATTCTAACCACTGTACCACCACGATTTAGTTCCTTTTTTTCTCAGGATCATCCAGATCCAGGGATCATTGGGGGAATGCCCACCAAGCCACGCCCACCAAGCCATGGCCACAGAACTGATAGTAAAAAAAAATGTGAATTCCACCACTGTTTCAGATAACAGGCACTTCCCTGCCTGCCCTCAACATCAGTTACTTATCTGAGGTTGGGGAGGGGGAAACTTTTCCCTGGAAACAGGAAAGGAAGATTTATGGGCTAGAGCAGGGGTGGGCAACTGTGGCCCTTTTACAACCTGTGGACTTCAACTCCCAGAATTCCTGAGACAACTTGGCTTGGCTGTCTCAGGAATTCTGGGAGTTGAAGTCCACGGGTTGTAAAAGGGCCACAGTTTCCCACCCTTGGGCTAGAGGTTTCCTGAAGTTGGTTTTTTTTTTTTAAAAAAAGAAAGAAACCTAGATTTCATATCAAAATTTTGTTGTGAACATGTAAATCTGGCAATGGAGATCTTGCTTTCTGTGAGAGCAGGGCAAGAAGTAATGGGCGGAAGGTTGTTAAAGAGAGATCCAATCTAGAAACAAGGAGAAATTTTCTGACAGAACAATTAACCAGTGGAAGGGCTTGCCTGCTGGAGTTGTGGGTGCTCAATCACTGGAGTTTTCAAGAATAGACTGGACCAACCATTTGATCAGGATGGTATAAGGTCTCCTGCCTTGAGTAGGGGGTGGACTAGAAGACCTCTGAGGTCCCTTCCAGCCCTATTCTAATCATAATTCCAATAGTAAATCATCACCAGGATGGATTTGATTTAAATCAAGTTAAAGTAAAAAGGCTTGATTTAAATCAACTCGATTTAAATCATAATTTTTAAAGAGCAGTTGTCATCTCTGTCCCGCAATGGCCCCTCCTCTGACCCACTGTTGACTCACCGACAGTCCCATTCACTTTAATGGGACGGCTGGTGATGCGGCAGTGACACAAGTTGGGGGACGGGGCGGGCAGCAGGTGAGTGGATGCCCGCTAACAGGCGCTGCCATGATGGACCTGAAATGATAGGTGCTCTTTAATATTATATTTATAAGCTGCTTAGAAGGTTTTACTTTCATTTTTACTGCTTGCCCTTCCACCTCACACTTAAGAGCCTGGTGGTACAGATGTATTTCTCTTCAAACAATCATATAGTTTGTAGTGTACTTAGATTTGCAAAACAATGGGATAGAGGAATATTCCTGAACTTTGTTTTATGATTTATCTCATGGTTACTGTGAAATTGTGTGAATGCATCAATGCAGTGCATGTTATCTCAGCTTGCAGAGCTCGGATTCATTGAATGAGTTTACCAAAACTAAATATTGCAGAATGTACATAACTCATGCTACATAACTAAGCTCCATTTCATGCTGAATAAACTAAATTATTAATGTATCTTAAATAGAAAACTATCTTTAGATAGTTTTTTTTACTCCAAAAGCATTTTATTAAAATAAATTTGATTAAAATAAAAAAAACCCTATTTAAATTTTATAAATCTGAGTTTTTTTAATTTTTATTTTTAAAAATCATCTATTTTTTTTATCCATTCTAATCAGCACTTAAAACTGACTGAAAAGGAATCATGTTTAACCCAATTAGTGCTGTGGTGCTATGTATAAAAGATGAGCTGTTTAAATCTGTATAATGAATGTTTAGCTCATAAAAGTTAATGGTCGCAGGAAGGCAACAATAGATGTAACAGTAGAAGGGTACACTGGTGCATCTCAGGAAGGCCTAAGATGGTGATAAGGAAATCAGAAAACCCTTCGCTCCCATCTCAACACTGCCCTCTTGGTGGTGTTGCCTTGGGTTTGCTTTCTCCCAGAAAAACAAGAGACATCTTTCTCGATTGCAAAACTCCCTCTCTACTCAGAGGTGTAAGCTTTTCACACGAACCACATCTTCCTGGCTCACCCAGGGTTTTTGGATGAATTGGTGCTGTGGTTGTTACCATCTTTCGTTTTGCTTTTCTTTTAAATGGTTTATGATGCTACCCTCTGGCTTTAGCAGCATTTTATAATGAAGAGGGGCTAGTGAATGTTGTGAACAAATATAATATAAATGTTTCAGCTAAATGCATTTCCTATGTCACAAGAATGAGAATACTGAGCAGAGTTGGCTACTTCCCAAAGGCTACTCCTAAAAAAAGGAGGGGAAAATGCAGGGGTGAAATCCAGCAGGTTCTGGAGAACCGGTAGCGGAAATTTTGAGTAGTTCGGAGAACCGGCAAATACACCTCTGGCTGGCCCCAGAGTGGGGTGGGAATGGAGATTTTGCAATATCCTTCCCCCTGGGGTGGGGTGGGAATGGAGATTTTGTAGTATCCTTCCCCTGCTATGTCCACCGAGCCATGCCCACAGAACCAGTAGTAAAAAAAAATTTGAATTTCACCACTGGGAAAATGGGCTTTGTTTCTTACAATTTTCTTCTTGTTTTTTTTCTCTCTCTCTTTAGGAGAAGGCTTCCACAATTACCATCATACTTTCCCCTTCGATTACTCAACAAGTGAATATGGCTGGCGGTGGAATTTCACTACTGGTTTTATTGATCTCATGTGCTTCCTTGGCTTGGCCAATAACTGCAAGAAAGTTGCCAAGGGGACCGTCTTGGCTCGAAAAGTTCGGACTGGTGATGGAAGCCACAAGACTGGCTGAAAATCGGTTTCCCTGACCTTTCTTTTCTTCTTTTTTCCAACAACCTAGTCATATATTTGATCTGTTTACTAGCTATTAGGACTGTGCAAAGCATGAAACCGGGGAGGGGGCTTCGCAAAGTGCATTGGCACAAGTGAAACATTAAAGCAGCTGTGTCCTCTGAAAAGCCAGGTGCTGCTTTTTGAAGGCTTTTCCTGGTTCTCTGCTCAGGTGTGTGTATACACAGCTGCTTTGCTTGGTTGATAGTCGAATGAGATGGGCTTTCTGTGCATACTTTAGATGTGAACAGTCAGGGTTGCCCCTCGGAACAGCCAAACTAAGCTGTCTGGATATTGCAGCTGCTTTATGCTTTGAGGGTGGATAATTCACTCATTTTACAAAGCCCCCCTTTCAAATGCTTTGCACAGCCACATAACTACCAAGCAGTGTGTTCAGGATGCTTAAATGGGTGACTAACTCATTCCAGTATTTGTTTTTTGAAACAATATATTCAAGGCATATGGCAAAACCTTCCCCCCCCCCCCCCCCCCCCCCCCCCAAACTGACCTTGGAGGCTGCTTTTCTATATCTTTTCCACTCCTTCTCGGCAAAAGTTTCTTTTCTCTCTCCTATGTTTTCTGTCTCTCTCCTTAGCAACTGATATAACATCCCAATCTATGTGTTCTTGGTTGGAAGAGGATTTAGGAAGATTGAAGGGACAGACTTGGTACCAAAGTAGAAACTTCCTTTCTTAGAATGAGTAAACAACTCACAATTGGCTTATAGTCCTTTCTCTTCTTCTTAGCTCTGGTGCTGTTGAAGCTCTCTTCTTTTTTCTGGTAGAAAATTAGAAGTTGGACTTTTACGTAGCAGTTCTGAAAACTATTAGAAACTGAGAAAATGTGTATACTGAATGGGAAGGCAGAAGATAAGATCGTATTATATGGGACACACACATAATTTTACAGATCAGTCCCGTAGTAGTGGTTGATATTTTTAGTTGGTGCTAGGCAATTGGAGCTCCCTTCCTCCATGTCCTCCTGTCATTGCTGCTTGTCCTTATCAAGACTTGTCTGCAGGATTCTGAGATGGCAGGATGAGGATGTCGTGTAAAGATGCTGATCACTCTATAAGCAGTGAAGGGCATCTGGTTAAGAACATGCTCATAGATTTAAAAAAAATGTATGCACTTAAGGGTTTTTTTCGTAGCTGAAGCTTTTTTTATGTGCAAAAGAATGAATTGTATGTTGCATGCTTGCTGATATATGTAGTAGTAGATAATTTCTATTCTCAAGTGGTTTAGTCAGTTTAACATCAAGTTATTCAGCTAATTTATTTCTCAACTGGACCATTTTCTGAACCAAATCTGCTGTAATTCTTTTCCCTATAGGTAGCTCTAGCAATCCTCTCCTCCCCCTCCATTCTCACCACTTTTCTGGTTGTCATTATAATATTATAATCCAAAAAGGAAAGTGTCTTAAACAAGGGGAAAAGAAAAGGCTAGCTTCCCCTTTTCTTTCTCTTTTGTCTTCCTGTGCCTTTAATATTTTCATCTCTAATGGCACTCCATAAGTTACAGTCAGCATCACAATCAGTATCATCATAGTTACAATCAACATCACAGTCTGACTCATATTACCATTATCTTTTGTTTTGTAAAATCCGCCAATTGTCTGCACTCGTTAATAATAAACAAAAAAAAAAAAACATTCCCATGAAGGTCTGGTTCATTTGTCTAATTTAATTCCAATTTGTTCAAAAACACTTTCACCAAAAAAGTACTTTTCAAAATAAATGTCCCTTTTATCCATTTTAAACTTTCTTACATTGACTCCTTATTAAGCTTTTTACCAAAAAAAATATATAAGTTTTTTAAATCTTTTTTTTTTTCTTTATTCCTTTGTAATCTGGAAAGAATTGTAACTCACCAAGTGGAATCTTATGCAGCTACTTAGAAAATCTCTCTTTAGCTCTAAATCCCAAAGTGGTTAAGAAACATTGTACCGTTGGCTACAATACAGTTGTGGTTGAAATTCCTCGCGATCTAACCACAAAAACCTCAGTTCCTGTAGTCTACTCAAAAGGAGAAGCTGTCAGAGTGCAAGCCCAGGATCCTACAATATCCAGAAATACTGTGTCTGCTGATCTCTATTGATCTGGTTGCAGATTTTTGCTGCATTGCTGTCCCCAGTCCTTCAGGGACATCTAGTTCACCATAAATCCTCACCAGAATCTTCTATGATGGCTTTTGGGGAAAAAAAATGGATGAAAGACTTGTTAAGATGAAAGAGGCAATTAAAGAAATTAACAAAATGAAAAACTAGAAGAAATATTTGGAAAGATAAATAGTCTAGCTCTATTGAAATTGAGAGAGAAGGAATTTTATCTGAGATTTAGAGCAATCCCAGAAGATTATGATGAAGAAGCTAGAGAAAAGATTATTAAAGCCTTAGAATTTTTTTTGGATTGGGAAAAGGAGGATACTGATAACGGAACTTGATGAAATATATAAATTTGCAAGAACAAGAGATGTTCCAAGGTGCACTTTTAATACAAGATTGAAGATAAATAATAAAGATAACGAGTCTTAAAAAATTCCTATTATAATTTTGCGTAAGAGAAAAAAGGTTTTTTTGATTTGAGATTAAAGCAGAAAAAGCCCCCAATGACAACAAACTAGGAGTGGTTTTTACTTTCAAACAGCAGAGGTTATGACTAAATGCAATCCAGAAGGTGAGGGAATTTCTAGAAAAATTCAAAGAGAAATCGGAGGATAGTCAAATAGATGTCAGAGAAGACTACATAGAAACTTCATCAGAAGTTTGAGAGGACAGGAGACTGAGGGATAATACTGGATCAGGTGTCACAAATACTGATTTTTTAAAAACTTTCAGCTTCATTATGGATTACTTGCACTAGTAGAAGCAATAATGGAGGTTTGTAAAAAGAAATTTTTTTAAAAAAATTAACATAAAGGTATTGATTTAAGAATAGGTTTGGGATGCAAGGTAAAGCTTTTATTGGAGTTATGTTATTTTATACAACACAATGAACTTAAGGAGAAATGAAAACAAACTCTTGAACAACATAGAAAAGAGGAATTAAATCTCCAGAGAAGTTGTTTCTCAATAAATCAAACTATTACAATGGCAATCACCTATTAAAAGTAAGAAAAATGGAAATAAAAATGAGTTATATGAGGCAAAAAATTGAGTTGGCAAACCATGGAAGTGGCTAGCATATAAAATACTAAAAGAAAAGTTATTCAAATTACATGAGGGAAATACTTAATGGACATTGCGGCTGTAGAAAAAACATTCCATTAATAATATTCCAATTTATATAAAAGAAGTGACATCTTATTAGAGAAACTAGATGAATATCTAAAACAATTTACCAAGGATTACAAAGGAACAGGCAAATAACGTTTCTGAAGTTATAAAAAGATTAAACTAGGAAAGGTCCCTGTAGCAGATGGATTATAAATGGTTTGAGGATGACTTTATAAAATATGAATTTAAGGGAGGAAAGATGCCAGAGAGCTGGAAAACAGACCAACAAAACACTAATACCTAAAGAAGGGCAAGATTTGACTTCTAATAAGAAGCTATAGATCAAAATCATTACTGAATAATAACAGCAAGTTATTTGTAACTATTTTAGCTGATAGACTGGAAATAATTTTGCCAGGATTTATTCATGAGGATCAATATGGGTATTTACCTGAAGGGACAACTTTAGAAATATGTCCAACAATTTAGAATATTTGGAGGAGATGCAGAAAAGGGTTTGACAATTTCTGGAAGATTTTGAATTTAATAAAATGAATAAGATTGTTTACACTTCACAGGAAGCACAAATCATTATTAATGGAGATCTAACAAAAAGATCTCTGAGAGACAAAAAGGATTAAACAATGGCAGCAGGATGTGTCTAAATTTGTGTGAAAGGAATAAAAAAAACCCCATGAGTCAAATAAAAGGTGATACAAGATGCAAAGGAGCGATGATTGAGTTTATCCAATTAAGTTTACCCATTTTGAAGTTGTATTTTGCTGTTTGGTTTGGATGAACTTGTTTGGTGCTGCTGAGAAACAATTTTTTTTTTTGTAGTGAAAAGGACACAACCTGAGATTTGAGTGGCATAGATATTTGTGGTTTGACAAAGTCAAGGTTAATGTGGATTTTTAAAAATCATATGTGCCATATTGAGAATATAGAATAAACTTGGGCTATGCCCAGAAACACCTCTGTAATTCTCAGCCAAGAAGCATTTTATAGTTGAGAAATAATAAGCAAACAAAAATTGCTTTCTTATCGTGACATGCTAGAATTCTGTGAAAGGAAATACAAGATAAAATCAAGAGAACAACTGATGGCAGAGAGACATAGTTGTCTGGTTCTCTTATCTACAATTGTTAGATTTAAAAATAGGCAAAAGAATTTATGGTTTTGAACATTGTGAGACTGAGCTTGAAACAATTATATACAAATGATGAACATGTGATTATTAAAATGCATACGCTTTTACTAGTAGAATTACTAGTGAAAGAATTTATGATAGAGGGCTAAAAGTTTTGGCTATATGAGGGGTCAGCAACCCGTGGCTCCAGAGCCACATGCGGCTCTTTGGGCCCTCTGCTGTGGCTTCCTGTCGGGTGATCCCACCACTGGCTGGTCCCACCCCTTGCCCTCCCCTCCCAGTCACTTCTTGCCTGGCCTGAGAAGGCAAGGGTGACGGCAGGGGATGGAGAAGCGGCTAGGGCAGAGACAGAGAGATACAGAGAGAGGGGAAGAGAGAGGGGGGAGGGAGGGACAGAGGGGAGAGAGATATGTCAAACGGGTTTTGTGGTTCCTGGTGTTTTTTAACAACTGGTTCTCTGCCCTAATGACTGGCTGGGTAGGCGTAGCTAAGGGGGGGTCATGTGACTGGTGGAAGTGAGTGACATTGAGTTGGCCACACCTACCCAGGTTTTGTGGCTCCTGGTGTTTTGTTTTCTGTGGGAAACTAGTCCAAATGGCTCTTTGAGTGCTTAAGGTTGCAGGCCTCTGGGCTATATGGTATAGGATGGAACAATAGGAAAATATGTGGCTGAAAGGATTGAAATATACATTATTTTTTTATACAGTTTTTGCAGTATTTCTTCATAGACAACAGGCATACCAGCATTCCTTCCTCCTATTTTGCCTTGTTTTTGTACATCACAACTGCAGTGAGATTGTACAGACAAATATGGAAAGATGGAGGAATGGCTGGTGAAAAGGATGGAACTTGCTGAGATAGACTTGACTTCTTTGATCAGAGAAAAGAATATGTTTTTTCTGTTTCACATAAAAAGTCTGTAAGGGACTTACAGTGAGCAAGTGAGCTTATGATTTTGTAATTTGATGATTAGAACTGATTATTGAAAAAAGAGAGGCCTGTTATAACCCTAACAAAAAAAGGAAGCTTATCACTGATAACTTCTGTATAGAAGCTACTTATTGTAGCTTTTTCTTTTCTATTTTCTTTTACTTCTGTTTTCCATTTGACCTCTTTTCTTTTTTTCTCCCCACTTACATTAGTCATGAGAATAAATGTAGAAGTTGAAACAACAGAGCAGGAAGGGATAAGATACCAATGTTCCCCGTTGCTCTATTTCCCCCAAATATCTGGCTGGGCCCTGGAAAGCAGGATTAGATGGACAATTGCTCTGAGCCATCAGGAATCCTCTGAATATTTTTAGGCTGATCTGAAAACTCTTGGTTAAGATACATCAGGAAGGACAAGGAGATTTGGCGCTAAGATGAATATTTTGCCTAAATTGAAAGCAAAGATACATATACTATAATAAGCAATTAGCTAAAGCTTGGTTGTACTTCCTTAAGCTCTTCAGAACACAAGGAAATAATAGAAAAAGCTGTAGACTTCATTCTTCTGGTATTTGCCAATCTAGAATCTGACATTTTTGACTGAAAATGCTCCTCCCCATCTGTCTGCACCTTTAAAGAACAGCATGTACAGACGGTATAAAGCACAATAGTTTTGCTTTGCTTTGGAGAATTGTGAGTTCTAAACTGGGTGTGGGCGTGGCCGGCGCATGATGCATCCAGCCCAAGGGCTGTGAGTTTGATAGCCCTGGCTTAAGATGCTGTTAGACAAGCAGAGGTGCAGACAATGTTTCTGACATTTTTAGGAACCTGAGATCAGTTAATGGGGGGATTTTCTTTTGCAGCAGCCTTCACTTTTTATGTCAATGGCATAATGGAGAAAGGTTCATCTGATGGCACATGGTGAATTTGCCATAAGATGTTGGCAATTAAACAGGCCTGGTAACAAACGACTTTCTTTGTCTTCCTATGTCTTAGACAACTATTTGGATGTGCCTTATAGGTTTGGGTTGATACTTTTCAGGCTGTTGTTTTTTTTAAAAAAAAGAAACCATGTATAGGCGTATTGAATTAGTTGCAATTTTTTATTTTCATCTGAAATTATTTCTGAAGTATCTTTCAGAAAAATATTTATATGGATGATTCACCTGCAGTTGTGCATCAAGGGACTTTTTCATAGATTTAATCAAGCTTTGATTTAGTTAAAAGGCTTTCATCCAGAGGTGGGATTCACTTACCTTCCCTACGAGTTTGCAAATGTGAGCGCGTGTGCCTCTGCGCATTTGCAGTAGTCACACATTACATCCGGGCAGGTGGGCGGAGCCTCCCGCAGTCACCGCTACCAGTTTGCGCGATCCAGACAGAACCGGCTGAATCAGTGGTGAAATGCTACCGGTTTGCACTGGTTTGGGCGAACCGGTAGTGATAAAAACTACCGGTTTGGGTGAACCGTAGTAAAAAAAAAGTTACCGGTTCTTCTGAACCGGTATTTCCGACGATCAGCTGTGCCACGCTACTTAAAATCACTAGAAAGCAGGAAATCCTGCTTTCCAGTGAATCTAAATCGCGCGGCACAGCTGTTCCTCCCCCTCCGCTGTTCTGCTTACCTTCCCAAGCTTCCTTTTTCCAGGCTAAGTGCGCATTTGGTGTGTACTGCGCATGTGCGGCCAGCGAACCAGTGGCAAATCGGTTCAGACTTCACCACTGGGCTGAACCCCACCTCTGCTTTCATTTCTTGCAAAATCTAGCCTTATTAGCTGAGGTTTGTGCCTAGCCCAGAACATTTTGGTTCATCAGCCTTTCTAGCTCTTGCTGGGTGCTTCTAGAGATTTGTTTTACCATAAGATTCCTTTGCTCCTTCCTCAAAGCATCAGGGGGTATTGAAATTTTCTTCCCTGCTTTCGTTTGGCTTCTTTGCTTTTTTTTTTTTTTAAATCATGGGAAATCCAAGGAATGAAGGGATTGCTCTTCAATGCCTTTTGATTGATAATACTAGACATCGTGTTGGTTGGTTTGGGATGGTGTGTGGTAAGAAGAGAGAGCAAGGCCTGGCAACTAATAAATCAGCCTCTTCTCCCTGCCCTAACCTGGAAAGGAGACGTGACTTAACTTTTCCATGGCTTCAGGTCTGATATCTACATCACTCATTTCCATTTACTATTTGGGACAAAGTTGGCTTGCATATCTGTCTTCTAATATAACTAACAATTTGTAGCTTTAATTTAAATATTACTTTGTAACATTTGCTGACAATATTCTAATAAGATGATATTATCAAAACCCACCAGAATGCAATGGGCAAGCAAGTTTATTGCCCCTCTCTCCTTTTAAACTGAAAAGAACTAAATAGTTGGTGTGAAAGTTAACGTGAGCTCCAAAGTTCTTGAAGTTTGGGTAGGATCTTTGCTTTTTCCATTTCTAATGTTGCCATATTTTATGTGCTGAAAAATAATTTCTTCCAATATGAGACTTGAAGTTATGTTTTTGTTTATAATAAAATAGTTGACTTACAAGTACTTCAGACTTTCTGTACAATCCCCACGTTTGACTTCTACTCAGTGGACCTCTTAGGAGCACCTTTTCCTTTAAAGGGAAGATTTCCACTTCTCTATGGAAATTTGATTTTAAGAATATAGCTATGGGAGCACCCCACATAGTCTAAGACACGGGTCTCCAACCTTGGCAACTTTAAGCCTGGAGGACTTCAACTCCCAGAATTTCCCAGTCAGCTTGGCCAGTAGTGGGATTCAATTTTTTTTACTACTGGTTCTGTGGGCATGACTTGGTGGGTGTAGTGTGGCTTGGTAGGCATGGCAGGGGAAGGATACTGCAAAATCTCCATTCCCTCCCTGCTCCTGGAGAAGGTTGCTGCAAAATCCCCATTCTCTCCCCACCCCACTATTTATTTATTTATTTATTTATTGGTTCGATATATATGCCGCCCTTCTCCGGAGACTCAGGGCGGCTTACAATGCATTAAGCAATAGCCTTCATACTTTTGTAAATACCTGCTTAGTAGGGCTTTCGGGGCCCCCAAGCGGTGTTCTTTTTTATACAAAGTCAGCTTATTGTCCCCACAATCCGGGTCCTCATTTTACCTACCTTGAAAGGATGGAAGGCTGAGTCAACCTGGAGCCTGGTGAGATTTGAACTTGCAGTAATTGCAGGCAGCTGGTGCTACTTAACAGCACTTTAGTCTGCTGCGCCACCAAAGCTCTAACCTGCTTTCCAGCTCTGTTCTCCTATGCAGGGCAACAAAAGAAGACCCAGCCGATCAGCTGAGACTCAGGAGGCAGCAAATAAATGGGTGCGGGGCCAACCAGAGGTGGTATTTGCCGGTTCTCCAAACTACTAAAAATTTCCACTACCGGTTCGCTAGAACCAGTCAGAACCAGCTGAATACCACCTCTGTTGGAGACCCCTGGTTAGGAGACACCTTTTCCTCTTTGAATCCAAAATACTGCACCAAACTACAACTATATAGGTGAGGAAGACCAGAGAACAGGAATGAACTACAAAACAATTGTCTCAAATTTCCTGGGCTGCTTCCCCCAACCAGTCTCCCTTTTCCTAGTTCCTCCAGTTCGAAAACATTTCCCCCAGAATCAAATACTCATTTCAGGGCTTAAGGGTCTCTTGCCTAGCTAGCTACCTACCTAACTAGGCCAGGTGAGTCTACCTTTTTTAAAAATCAATCTGAGTTCTCGATTTAGTTGGAAACCTTCCTCATTCCATATTACGGGAGGTTTCCGGGGAAAGTGAGCTATTGTAAATGCTTTTAATTTGCATTGTTTAATCACTGCCTGGAACATGGGAACATAGCCAGGCTAAATTATTTCAGCTCAGGTACTACACCAGGGGTGTGGTGCCAATCTCAAAGCCTATAACTAAATACATACATCGGAGTTGGGCAATTGACAGTCCCGAGTTCATTTGTCACTCAAGTTCATTTGCCTAAGATTGCAGAGTAAAAAGAACCTGGAGGAAGATTTATTCTGCAACACCACAAATTTGGAATGCAACTCTGCTTACTCAACGAACCATAAAATAACTCTGGAAAATCAAATCTTCTCCACTCATATCCACTGTGGGTGATAGATACTGACAAATGTTTTCAATTATCTTTCATTTAAAGAAATGCCGTCTACCGTCTGTTTCATTTTCTATCTTGCTTTAAATTTCGATGTTAAGACCTTAGGCCACACTTGGTTAGCTAAAATTTCCCAGAATTCTCTAACTGGCATGTTTAGTTGCAAAGAATGCTCTGATATCTGAGCGATACCAAGGCTGGAAAAGGCAGCCTTGGGAATTACTCCACAAACTGATAGCCATCAGATTAAAAAATGCTTGTGAAAAACTTTATTCCAGTTATTGAGAGAGTTCAGTGAGAAAAGAGAGACATTTAGTGTTCTTAAAAGGGAGTGACTGAAACTGACTTTATACCAGCCACTGAATCCAAGTAATTTAAAGAGCTAGTATGTGCATTTATATGTTTGCTGATTAGGCTTTCTTATGGCTGAGCATGTTGTGTGAACCTGATCCATTACGAAAGTTTATGGTTCAATGTATAGTTCCAGTCCAGAAAGTGGATATATTTAGTAAATAGTGTGAATACAGGGAAAAAAAATAGGTTAAGTTGGAGGGGAGGGAAGGAATATATTTTTCACTCTTGTTGGAAAGTTTTGAACTTTGATTTCTTTCAAATGGAGAAAGTTGATCACAATTCTAAAGAAGAGGCATTCACACACAGCCTGTGGATAGGTGTCAGCTTTTTGAGGTAGTCCAGATAAGAAGCAACCCAGATGAACAAAATCCTACTTTATTATAAGGTTACATTAAAAGGATCTTGCAAGACTGAAAGCATCTCTCTCTCTCTCTCATCTATGGAAAATGAGGGACAGTCCCTTCTGGAAGGGTTCCCATGCTTTTCTCCCAATTGTGGAATGAGCTGCTCTATCAGACCATTGACTTGGTTATAGGTCTTCCTCCTGTCTCCCAAGGTCTTTCCCACATACCATTATAGTAGGGCCTAGCTCAGGGGTGTCAAACTCAAGGCCTGGGGTGGATCTGACTCGCAGGGTGCTTAGATCTGGAAGCTACACTCTGGAAACAGCGAAGGACCAGCCCACAGTGCCTCTGCTAGTGAAAACAGAGCTTGGGAGGAACGCACCCGGCCCTCTCGAGCTCTGTTTTCACTGGCAGAGGGTTACAGGTGGCCATTGCAGCTTAAACCAGAGCTCAGGAGCCCGTTTTCGCTGGCAGAGTGCTCAGGTCACCACAGGTGCCCCCGATATGAGTGACGTTGAGTGAGCCATGCCCCCCCCAGCCAAGCCCCCCCAGGTCAAACACAATGCTGATGTGGCTCTCAATGACACCCCTTGGCCTAGCTGATAATCACTGAAATCAAGTGATCCTCAAAAATTTAACATATATAGCCGTAGCTGATTGCAAGAAGGAGTATTTCTATCCCCCAACGAGCTGTGACCTCTTCTTTCAGAAGATTCACCATTTTGATTTAACCTCCGAGGCTGGATGTCATTGGCCCTACTGCTGACGTGTTCCCATAAGAATTGTAACATCTTTCTGTAGGACAGCTGTTCATCTCAACTTCCTTTTACCTACTTTTCAATAAAATCACACAACACCCCACATTTTGGTTCAGGATCCTGTGTTTTCTTAATTTGAGCTTTGTCTTACATAACTTTGTGCTTGTTTTTTTTTTATAAAACATTTTTTTTATTTTATAAACGAACAAACAAACAATACATAATCAATCATTCAATATATCTTCTGAATACATCTTTTAAATCTTTTTTTGCTCCTCCAATATTTATCATATCTTAATATTGTAAACAAACAAATAATACATAATCAATCATTCAATATATCTTCTGAATACATCTTTTAAATTTTCTTTTTACTCCTCCAATATTTATCATATCTTAATATTTTCATTCCCTTTATTATAACATTTCCCCCATTTTTCTTACTTCTCTATTAATACCTTAATCTATCTTTTAATTATATTAAAAATTAGACAACCATTTTGTCCCCACACAACCTTCATAACCTTGTGCTTGTTGATCTCAGCAAGTATTAAGTGTAGGGTGGAATTAAAAGCTTTTGGAATACTGAGTAGGCCTCTCCTTCACCATGCTAAGCATTTCTAAGAGGCCCATTCTGGACAGCTTAGCAAACTAGTTAAGTGTGAGTTAGATGGCATAATAATTAAGTGGATTCATAGTTGGCTCAAAAATTGCACTCCAAGAACTCTCCGGTGGTACCTTCTCAAACTGGAGAGAGAATAGGATGCCGTATGGTTCAATCCTATGGCGTTTCTGCACTGCCTTTGGCCAGCCCCACTTTGAATATTTTTTAAAAAAAATTTTTTTTGATTTATATGCCGCCCTTCTCCGGAGACTCAGGGCGGCTTACAATGCACTAAGCAATAATACCCCAAGTTCTGGACACCACATTTTAAGACCAATTTAAAAAAGAAGAGGTACAGTGAAGAGCAATGATTATAAATAGGGAAAACTAGAAACTAAATCCTATGAACGGAATGGAAGGAAATGAGAATGATATTACTTAAGAAAAGAGTCTGGGAAAGGTATTAGATTACACGTTTACATACAGGTACCTGAAGAGCAATATAGAGGGTTCCCATCTCTGGAAATAGAATCTGGACCAACATTTGTCTTCTATGCCTTATACCCGTGATGGCGAACCTATGGCACGCATGCCAGAGGTGGCACGCAGAGCCCTCTCGGTGGGCACTCGTGCCATCACCAGCTACTCTTCTGGTTTCTGGCACGCATATGCCATCTGGTCTTTGCAGGCGCCCAAAAATGGCCTGAAAACGGCCTGAAAACAGCAGGGAAAATGGCCTGGTTTTGGGCCGTTTTGGGGGCTGTTTTCAGGCCATTTTCCAGCGCTTCAGTGCCTGTGAAGACCAGCTGGTGTATGCCTGTTTTCTGGGCTGTTTTCACACCATTTTTGGCCCAAAAATGGCCTGAAAACGGCCCGAAAAAACAGGCATGCACCTGCTGGTCTTCACCCACTGGAGTATTGGAAAATGGCCAAAACGCAGGCCATTTTCAGGTCAAAAACAGCCTGAAAAACAACCTAAAAACAGTCTGGAAAACGGTCTGTTTTTTGGCTGTTTGGGGGGCCATTTTCAGGCCATTTTCTGGCGCTCTGGCACCCTTGAAGACCAGCTGGCACATGCCTGTTTTTTTGGCCGTTTTTGGCCTGAAAATGGCCCCAAAAATGGCCTGGAAAACAGCCAAGAAACAGGCACGCCAGCTCGTTTTCGTGGGCACCAGAGTGCTGGAAAACGGCAAAAAAAAACCAGGTAGTTTTCCAGGCCTTTTTAAGGCCAAAAATGGTCCCCAAAATGGCCTGAAAACAGCAAAAAAAAAAAAAAAAAAAAAAGCCCCCAAAAAGGCATGTGTGTGCTGGCCAGCTGGTCTTCATGTTTCCGGTGCTCCGGCACGTGTACATGCACGCACATTCTAGTTTGGGCACTTGGTGCCGAAAAAGTTCGCCATCACTGCCTTAAACCAGCAAGAGTAGAAGTACACCTTGCAGGGAAATGAGCAGAGAACTAATCCACAGGCTGTAAGCTACTTCATAGTTTTCAGTCATGTGGAATTGGCCAACCATATGGAAATATCAAGATCCCAATACTCTGATTGCTGATGTGATATGATTTCACAATGGTCAAGGTCTGAAGCAACCTCTGCCTCACCCTAGTAGACCAGGAGTAGCAGATGACTTCAGACCCGGCTAAACTCAGCAAGTATCTGGCTGATTTCAATGATTCTCATAAGGACAATGAGAGCAGAGCAGGTGTCAGGATAGAATGACAGGGCAGGGGGAGGCCACCATGGTTCATAGGGACAACTTTGTTTTCCCAGGAGATGCTGAGAGAAGTCGCAGCAAAGAGTTGATGTTATTTCAACATTACAAGGTTACTTGGAGAAGGGACGGCTTGAAAAGACTCAGAAAACTTTTCTCAAAATTGAATATATAAGAAGAATGAGCGCAAGTAGCCAGAAATTCCTGGTGAAGAAATGATGGCAGGCAAATACAATGATGAAAAACGGTAGTGGCAAAAGTGAGATCTATAGTATTTCACCCTCAAGAAAGAAAGCTTGTCCTTCTGGATCAGCGATTCCCAAACTTTTCTATACCCCACACCCCTAGAACGCTTCTGATGTATTCTCGCTCCCCTTACAAAAGTAAATAATTATATGTATATAATTATGCCTATACTATAATTTTGCTATGACTATAATTTTGAAACTTCTAAACCCAAGTCTTTGCACCCCCTGAAATATCGTCTCGCACCTCACCCCCCCCCGGTTGGGAACCCCTGTTCTAGATCTCCCAAATCTTTTATGTTTGCCTGGCCAACAGCTTGAGTGTGTGTTTGTTCTCTGCTTTGATTGAAGTGTAATAAAAGTAGAAGAGCACTGTTTATTCTTCCTCTTTTGCTCTTTTAAGTGCAATTCCTGCGATGGTAAAGTATCGCTCTGATCTGACACTGTATAAGATCTCTAAAAAATTATTCAAATGCATTTGAAATTAATGTTACACTCTTAATTTGATTAATTCTGTTTCAGACACAGGGATGTGCTGGACACATGCCTTGCATCACAGAAAAGCCGTTTGAAGAAATGTAGGTTGTGCAAATGGAATTTAAGCAGATCTGAGAGCCGTAGGATTGTTTTAGCTAAAGCTTGATCTTCAAATTTCACCTTTGGAATTGCCCCTGAAGGATGTGCGTTTTTTAGAATGAAAGCAGCTAGGAATTGTTGTGACACTTCTTTAAGCCTTAAATGTGACAAGTTCAGTTTAAGACTTCCAGATTAGTGTAACTTGAAAATGCAGTTGCATAATTTCATTCCCACAAATTGCCTTTTGTGAGCTATAAGCCTTTTTGGCAAGCACGGGTATCTTGGGTATTGCTAAACTAAAATGAATTTGATTGTGGTTTGAAGGGCTCTCTTCATTTCAGAAGCAGCTGGTGTACCCAGCTAGCTTGGTGTCCCAGAACCAGGAGGGAGTCCTGCTGCTTTAAATTTTGCTGCCCTCCCCTCCCCCTCCAGCCTGCACTTACTTTACAACCGGAAGGGTATACAGTGCTATGCTGCTATCCTTCATATGCTGCACCACATGGTGTGGTGAGGACAATAAGCAGGGGTTGAAATTCAAAGATCTAACTCACAAGTGGGATTCTCTTACCTTCCCTACTGGTTCGCAAACGTGAGCGTGCATGCTCTGTGCTCGCGCATTGCATCTGGGCGGGTGGACGGAGCCTCCCGCAGTCACAACTAACGGTTCGCCCAAACCGGACAGAAACGGCTGAATCCCACCACTGTGGTCTAACTACAGGAAAAGCCACCATCAATCATCATAGACAATATATGATGGGGTATTGCATATATACTCCAGGAACCCCATCCTAAAATCTCTAAAGCCCAGATGAAAGTGGCTGATTCCATAGCAGACTTGCTGGACCAGTTGGAGCTAAGCAGATCCCTGACCTCCGATGGCATCGTCTCAAGCCATCTCCTCCGTGCACCCTAAATTATCTGTGTTGAATGTCCTGGGGTTCCACACCAGATCCTGTAAAGCGATGGTCAGGCTGCCTTACCAGTGGGCCGACAATGAAACCGAAATGAAGTCACATAGGCAAAGGGTAAGTCAGTGGGTGCCTTCGGCTGGGATAAGGAGGTGGTATAGATGAACTCTAAGTGCGTAGCAATGTTGCTGTTGTTTTTCTAGCTGGAATAGCAGCGTTTTACCAATGAGGATGCAATGTTTCTTTGTTTCGCATCTCTCTGTATTACACCATTCAGAACCATACACCAACCACACACCAATTAATCAGACAATCTCAGGACAAAGTAAATCAATTAGCAGGTACCCACATTTATAGGGGAACTATACATTGAGATGAAGTTAAAATCAATTGCCAGAGGTTTATGGACACCACCATGCATACTTTTTTTTCTTGCAGCAATAGGAGAATAACTGTCTGCTTCTGGAATGCTTTTTTCAACTTTTCTCTCTAGCCCAGGGGTCTGCAACCTTAAACATTCAAAGAGCCATTTGGACCCGTTTCCCCCAGAAAAGAAAACACTGGGAGCCACAAAACCCTTCCCGTGCCTGACTATTTCTTGAGCGGCCACAAAATTAGCATATGTAGTTGAATTAAACATTCTGTTTTCCTCTGAAACTTTTTTTTCTTGGATTTATCCATGGTTGGCCTATCAGGAGGTTGAAAAACTCAATAAATCACATGCCGGTGGGTGTCACACATTGGCGGTTCTGACATATATTCTGAGTGACGGAGCCGCAGGGGAGGGATGAAAGAGCCACATGCGGCTCCAGAGCCACAGGTTGCTGACCCCTGCTCTAGCTTTTAGCTGTGATCTTTTTTTGATGGTCCTCCATCCAAGCATTGAACAAGACCCAATCCTGCCTAGCTTCCAAGCCTAGACAAAGTCAGCCTAGTATTGTGATCTAATGACTTCTAGCTTTATGTTATGGAGCCAGGAGCTACTTTGAAATTGCATAGAGTCAATTTAATAGCACTGATCCCACCTTGCTCTTGTCTTACTATTCAGTGCTGTGGGAAGGCCCCACCCCATCCCAGAAGAATGTACTATTTTGGGAAATATTAAAAAGGCAGAATATTATATTTCCCTAAATGAGAACTGGAGAAACATGTTTTTTTAGAGGCAGGAAGCAGGCCCCACCTTTTCTTAATAGGCCACAGCAGATGTCAGCACTTAAAGAGATAAAGAGTTTATTGAAAGAAGACAAGTATCTAGATAGCTCTATTCATAAGTAAATACCCTCACTCAAGATCCAACACAGGACAAAACCATTAAACCACAATAAGAATTATTGCATCACCCTCAAAGTAGTCCAAACTTCAACCAAACTTAGCTCAGACAAACACCTAGGATTTGTATTTCCTCTTTTGCCTATAGAGCCAGCTATGACCCCTATACGACCCCATAGGAATCTGACAACAGCCAATAGAATACGTGTTCATGCCTACAGGAACAGAAAGCTCAAGTGCAAAGCTCAAAGAAGGTATAAAAACCACTCACTCTCAACTCCATGTGGTCAGCTGCCCAGAATCACATGTGCTTGGTGGTTCTGCTTCATCAATAAAGGACCCTTTTTCCAATCGGCCTCCAGCCTCCATTTTGTCTCCAGTGCCTTTCTCCCGGATTGGAACTGAACCAGATGGATATTTCTTCCCACAGTGCTGTTCCATCCAATCTAAGAGCTTCCGAAAGAGGTGCCTGACATAAAGCTTGCTATTCATAAGAGTCAGGATGGTCTGTAATTAAGGAAGATGAGAGCAGCAATTAGGTTTGAACGTGGTTTGACCCAATCTGGGTCTATCTGAGATATCTGAGCAATTCACAAGTTTATAATATGCCATTGTCATGGGCATGCAGGATATTATTAGTTAACAATAGTCTGAAATAACCACCACAACCCCCAGGAGATTTCCCAAATTTAAGTTGAGTTAAACAAAGCTTCCTTTGAGGAATGGTGGTATATGCTGGAAGGGAGATAGCAGCTCAGATAAATCCAGGAGATTTTGGACAGGGCATACAGTTATTAAAAGATAATTAAAATTGTAAAATCAATTAATAGCACAGGAAAATTAACTTTACAGAGGCCATTCTTTACTTTCAAATAAAATTGCTAAAGGCAAACAGGAACGGTCCTTCCTCCCCTGCCTACCTCTGGGATGGGGGGGGGGCATTAGGAGACGTTCCCCCATAAATTGCAGGTTGCTCAGGAGTTTGGTATTGGGCCAGACTTTGGGGCCTTGATTCAAAGCTGCCTGGGAAATCCGATCAAGAAGTATATTCTTGTTGGGCATGTTACCAGATAAGTACAATAAAGGGACTGCATATCTGATTTTACATGTATTGACTGCAGCAAAGAATTGTATTTGCACAACAGTGGAAAAGTGAAGAGATCCCAACAGACGAAAATGTGATTAAAAAAATACTACCCTATGACTATATATATGTATATGTACCCTGTTTACCCCCAAATAAGACATCCCTGGATAATAAGCCCAATCGGGCTTTTGAGCACATGGCAATAAGGCCAAGCGCTTATTTCAGGGTTAAAAAAAATATAAGACAGGGTCTTATTTTCAGGGAAACACGATATATACATATACATATACATATACATATACACATATACATATACATATACATATATATACATACATATATATAATACACACAAACACACACACACACATATATGTACCGTATGACTATCATTAAGTGTTGTACGTTATGATTCTTGACGAATGTCTATTTTCTTTTTATGTACACTGAGAGCATATGCACCAAAGACATTGTGTGTCCAATCACACTTGGCCAATAAAGAATTCTAATCTTATCTCATCTCATCTCACCTTGAATGTGCAGAAATGGATAGGCTAACACTTACAATTAAGCAAAAGAAAGAAACTGAATATTTTTTGACTTGGAACTGTATCAATGGTTAGCTGACAAAAAGAGGAGTTAGAAACAGGGAAATATACGGAAAAGATCAATGATGTAAGGGAGGCATGTTAAAATGGTTCAGTAAACATCACCTTCAGTATTATTAGAATAAATACTAATGCAATGAATACTGTTGTCAATATTTTGATTACTATTTCCTAAAACTGTGTGTACCCAGCCAACACACCATTTAATTGAACATGGATTTTTTATGTTGTATATAAAAAAAAAACTTGAGGAAAAAAAAAAGTATAAGATCTCATGCTCCAGCAAAGGGTTGGACTAGCTAGACGACCTCCGAGCCCCACTTCCAGCTCGGTTATTCTGCCATTCACATTTTTTAACTAGCTCACAAGCGGCAACAGAGCTGTATAGAACTGGAGACAATGCCCGTTGTTATTTCTATGGCATGAGTGTGTCCGGTATATACGTAATAAATGCACACACGTCTTCTCTCGCATAGGCACACATTGGATTGATAGGCGCACTTAATTAAGATGTCCTTCTGCTATTATTACCTTTTCCCTTTTATGACTCTTGAAAAAAACAAAACAACCCCCCCCCCCACCAACCAGCCCAGAGCGGTGACTAATTCGCCAGTGGGAATGGATCAGAGAGCTCCTCAGCCATTGGCGGAGCCAGAGTCAGACAAGAAAGGCAGCCTGCCGATTGGCTGCGCTGCAGTCAGAAGTTTCAAGGCTGTTATGATTGCGAACAGTCAGCTATGACCGGCAGTAACCTCCGGGGAGGGAGGGAGGAGGGTCAGCCCTTCCCAAATGATGGGATTTTGATTGGTTCAGAAAAGGCTGCTGCGGTTGCCATGGGAGCCAGGGGGTGCTTCATGCTCCAACACGTTGAGCTGCCTGACAGTGGTGTACAGTTATCTAGAGAGAAGGAAAACTCCTTTGTTTTAGATTCAGATGCTTTTTTTTTTTTTTTAAATAATAATGACTGATTTCAGAGCTTGCCACTGAAGCTGAGCCTGCCTGGCAGATCACTTTAAATCCTGCAGAGACATGTTACAGGATTCCACACACACACCTCCTATCCTCTCCATGAGAAATGGCCTCCCTTAACAGGCAGTGAAAATTGTCTTGTGCACAAAAATGGAAAAAACAAAGAGATCCCTACAGATCAGGGGGTCACCCACCTTTCGGGCCTCGGGAACCACTACATTTATAATTTTAAATCCCGAGGACCACGAATATGAGTTTTTTTAAAAAAGATAAATAGTATTTAGTGCAATATAAAAAAAAATGCAAATAATTTTTCTGAGGACCACCAAAATTGTCTCGCGGGCCACCAGTGGATGGTGACCACTGCTACAGATGAAAGCGTTATTAAAAAAAAGTATTAGAATGTGCTGAGATGGACAGATTAAAAGAAAGGAAAAGGAAGAAACAGAATATTGTTTTGACATGGGACTTGTTTTACTAATAATGGTTAATTAACAGAATCCGAGATTGGAAACTGAAAAGATCCAAAAGATGATAAGAACTTTTGTATTGAAAGCTTTGTAAGGTAGATAAACTAATTGTATTACTGTTTTGTAATGATTACTGATAACGTCTATTATGTTTATGATGATGATTAATGATGATCGATATGACATTTCTACTTAAAATTAATTGTGCTCAGACAACACGCTGTTCAGATAGAGATGGGATTTTTTTATGTGATGCAAAAAAATGTATTAATAAAACATATATTTTTAAAAAAAGAATACTAAAAAAGAAAGAAAGAAAGAAAAATGACCTCCCTTTGCAACTCCCCATGTGAGATAATTTTCCTCCCCTGCCTCTTGGAGATCTGTGGTTGCTAGGCGCCCCAAACAACTTGATGACACACAATCGATCCATCAAAAATGAATATTAAATTCTGAACAAGGATAAGTGAAGATGAGACAAAGATAAGTGAAGTGAAGGTTTTGAGAATAATAGTCACAACTATTGTGTGCGTGAGATTCACTATCTGTATTCAACAGAGACTGTAGAGACTATACCCAGACGGTATACTGTTATTGTGAATATAGAAATTTTATACATAACCAAGAAAATGGTACAATAAAATATAATAATAATAATAACAAAAAATAAATATTAAATTGAAGGGTTGATGGTTTGAAAGGGATGCTTTCTGT